TTAAAACAATCTGATAATACTGCTTTCAATATTTTATTTGTGTAAAAGATTTACAAAACAAGCGAATATTTACGACGGGATAAATCTACGACATGGCACAATGGCGTCGAACGTGCATTAGTTATAGCTAGATATTGACATAGCTGCAATCATTTTTGTTAATATATTTATTTATTTATATAAGTGGTTTTTTTTTTTTTAATATTTAATCATTATTTATGCAAGGAGTAAGACAGTCATGTATAATTAAAGTTTACACGTTATCATTTCTGTTGTCTCACGCTACATGTTTAGTGTTTATATTTTTGCAGTTGCATTTATAGTTCATTTAACATTTATCAGTACCATGTTTAGTGTTTAGATTCTTGTACTTGTGTCTATGGTTAATTTAATATTTATTATTGCCATTACACGAAACACAAGCAAATGTTCGGTTTCGTGGCTTATGGGTTATAGAAATAGTTCCGTAATCCGTATTTTTCTTCTTTTTCTCCTTCTTCTTCTTCTTCTTCTTCTTCTTCTTCTTCTTCTTTGCATTTATTGGCTGTAAACTCCGACAGAATGTTCTGGCTGTTCGTCCACTTCTGGACATTAGTCTTGTTCTATAACATGCCTCTCATTCAAATTAATTATGACTTTGAAGAAAACGTTATTAATAAGTCGACTTTTGCGACATTTTTTTTTAGGCGGCGGGCAAAGTCGGAGTGCTTCTGCCCCAGAGGTAAGAAGCCAACAGTCTGCATGCATCTGCCTGAGAGGCAAAGCGCCCAAAGTCTGCATACAAATAAGTAAGATGTGTAAAACGGATGTGCACGCAAAACTCGAGTCCTTTTTCTTCTGATAATGAGGCACCGGAACGGACAGAGACGAGTTTTGCAATCCAGTCCCCGCTCAAAGTAAAGACTTTCGTTTCCCAGCAGGCAGTGTGAGAAAAGAACAAAAAGACTGCTATCTTAGCGTTTAAACAGAGGGACGAGAGTGGCACCGCAAAATATACTGCGACTTTGTGACGCAACATTTACAAAGACATTGCCCGTTGCACAGCGGCCAGCATCTTAATATGACGACAACATAAAATATTTTAATTCCTAACCGAATTCGAAGAATGCGCGTTTTACACAGCATAATATGAAAATATAAGAAGAGGACAAAAGTGACGACTGGAAGGAAGTATTTATGGAGAAAGAGATAAATAAAGACTGCAAGAGAAGATTATTTGATAACTATTTGTCATGGCATGGAAGACAACAGTAGCAGACGAACTGACACATGCATTTGAAAGTTGCAAGCAGTGACTGGAGTCGGTTATACAATTCAGTAAAGAACAGCATATGAGATGGTTTGGCCACCTAACGAGAATGCCCTGGTACCAACAGCCACAGAGAGCCACGCTGAAGATATATGATGGACACAGAGCAAAGGGAAGAACACGCAAAGATGGAGCGACATCATAAGGAGCAACTTAACAGAAATAAACACCAGCTTTTACGATGCATGAGGGGGGGGGGGGGGTAATCGACACAGACGGCAGTCTCGGCAAGTCTAATAGCACACACACGAATTAAATGCATAAGACAGCAATACTAAGTAAGATTGGTTCTGCGGCATTTTGTAAAAGTTGCGCAACTTTTTTTTTGTTTTAAACAGCATAATCTGAAGTTCACTAAATGTGGAATTGGTCAACAGTTTACTGTGCAGCAAATTCCTCAAATTTCAGTCACATTACCATATTATATTTACAGTTATCTGGGTATGCTCAGATAGAAATATTATTGTTGCTTATACATGCAAAATGAGGCCATACATTATTATTGAAATATCATTTATATTATTATTATTAACATTATAATAATAATTATTATTATTATTACTTTTACTGTTATAAAATATTTAGACCCTGTCTGCCTAGTCATGCAACGTGGTAGGGTATGTAGTTTTTCAATTCTGTGACTGCAGTATGTATTACATTACCAAGTATTTTAACATACAATTTTAAACATACAAATAACCTGTAATTTTCTAACGAGTTAGTTAAGTCAAGCGGCATCCTTCTCATTTCAGTTTGTATTTTTCTTTGTCCTTTAGTTTTTCTTTAACATATTCCGCCTCTAGGTTTTGCATTCTGAAATACTAACACGCCATGGGTTGGTTACCATTGGCGTGGGAATCAAACGGATAAAAATTCTTGAAAGCCTATTCAACCGTAAAGCACAGTTATATTGGGATACCAGGCGTTTAGGATCAAACCTGCAGTCAGGGCCGGATCTAGACCATCGGGGCGCTCATTGAATCGCCGGTAGACGACTTCGTCGCCGGTCAGGACAGTATTTGGGTCTGTCTACTTTGATCGCATCAACACTGCAAGAGTTTTTTTCACAGCTACTTGGTGGCAAGCAATGCTAAGCCATTTTATATGGCGCACATAAACCTAGTCACAATTATAACCAAAAGCTTCCTCTTTGGGGATGCTGGTTGAATGTGACAATTTTTTTTATTTTCGCAGAGCAAACCAAGCCAAGGATTGAGACTTGATGAGGCCCTAATCTAGGGCTATTCAACAGGGAGCCGGCTGGCCAAATCTGGCTACAGTTAACTGTAAAACTACCAAGTGAAAAAACCACACCCGGCTGGTTTTGATTTGTGAGTCATGTAAATGATACGCACTTAGCTATAATTAATACTTACGCTGTGGGGTAGCGACTAGACGCTCGTGTGCGGATCGGAAAATCGTGGGTTCGCTCCCTTGCAAAGCCATACTTTTTTTCAAAAATGACCTTGGCTCCCAGGTAGACCCAGCTTTGAGTTGGTACCAGGTGCAGTTCTGGGAAGTAAAGTGCTGACCACATCACCCATCTTGTGCCGATTGGTCTACAAAATATAGGTCTAACCCTATATGCCCTATACGCCAAAAGGCATGGAAAGGGGACATTAACTTTACCTATATATATATATGATCGCCCACGCCAGTCGGCAAGGCACCTGATAATGATGATGATATGATATACGCATTTATGTATACATGTATGTATACACAATTCTTCTTCTGAAGCGATAGGAACTGAACGAATAATTGTTATATATATTCTGGTTTTTTTGTTGTTGTAAATATAAATAGTGTAAAACTAAGTTGTCATCTTTTTAATGATTATTTAAGAGACTCTTTCAACGTCCGGTAAAAATTTTATTCTTATGAGGAATCCACCGATTACTTTGTTACGTCCATTGATACTTTTAACACGCGTTAATTAATTTTATTCTTATACGAACTGTCAGCTTTTAACCATTATTTCTTTCACAGACGTTAATTAATTTACACCCTACACCAACTGCAGAGCGTGTTTTCTTGCGTCCGACCCATTTGCCCTTGTAATGTAAGGCTTTTTTGTTTTGTTATGATTTACGATAAGAAATGAAATGATCGTTTTTACTGAAACGTGAATTGTTACTTTTTTTTTTTTTTTTAACGTAAAGAAATACAGTTCTGATTTTGCTATGTTTCACCTCCATACTCTACAACGTTCAACTCAGTAATCCTTGTAATGTGCCTTATTTCCTTCAATATATTTTTTTGGTTTTGTTTTTGTTAAATAAAAAATTACAATGCTTTCTTTACTCTATCTAGCCCAGTAAACATGGTTACGTACGTTATATACGTATATATTTATATGTATGTGTGTGTGTGTGTGTGTGTGTGTGTGTGTGTGTGTGTGTGTTAACTATAGACTTAGGTTTTTTAAAAAAACTATTTGCGTCACAACTGATACTTTATTTTATTTTCTCCAATTCTCCATTAATTAACCAATGAATAAGGCTTTACATTTACTATTTTCGAAGCTTCCCACAAACATAACAGTAGCTGTGCAAGCTGTAGTAGTGTTATATGTATATAAATATATATATATATATATATATATATATATATATATATATATATATATATATATATATACATATATACATACACACACACATACATCCTTCACAGTTAAAGTAAATGCCGAAACTGTACTGCTATATTTCTACAAACTAATTTTAAAAAAAAAATGTGCCTAATATATAATATTTTTAAATGACTAGATATTTCAAAATCCATGTCAATTTTTTTCTCGAGAGTGTAGATTTCAATAATTCCTAGAATTTCAGCTAAAATCAGATATTTCAAGTTCCCGATTTTTCGTAAAGATTAGGTGTTGAAAATTTCAACTGAACTAGTATACTCTAGTTTGTATTTTCCCTATCATCTATAAACTTTAAAGTTTTTCTAAATTTGAAAGCATTTACAGAAATGTCTCTAAATTTGTCAGTTAAAAATGTTCGCATGCTCTAAGAATAAATTTCGAACTTACTAAGATATATCAAGAAAACTTTTCCAAACTCATCAGTTCGTGGCTAAAATGTGTTATTTTTGGAAAGAAGAATTTGTCGGAGAAAAAGGGAGAAAGGAAACACAAGCAGGTACAACATAACGAATAGTAGAAGGAGAGACACACAGAAGATAACACATTTATCGCTACCTGTATCATAAATGAAAAAAAAAAATTACCACAAAGAAAACAATATGTTAGAAGACGAAGGCAGACAGAATGACAAGCAGATCGACAGAAAGTCAGATATAGAACAGGCAGAAGGCAAAAAAGACATAAGTATAGAAGAGCCGATAGAAGAAAAAATAGACATGATCATACCATGTATGATTAAAGAGTAAAATTAGGCGGAGAAGAAACAAAATATTAAAAGTCAAAGGCAGATCAAATGACAAGCAAACCGACTGAAAGTCAGATATAGAAAAAGGACAAGGAAAAGAAGGTTGAGGTTAGAGGCTTGAACAATCAATCAACATCATGGCACACGGGGCAGTAAACCATAAGTTCCCTGTTTTTCTTCTAACTCAAGTCTTGAGTCCGAAGAGGCTCTGCACAGTGCACAGGCTCTGTAGCACTACTAAAAGAATACACAGGTATAGAAGAGCCGATAGAACTAAGGAACAAACAATTACTCACTGTCTGAATGCGGTGAAGTTATCAGTCCAGGATACCACGGGTACCAAAGGCCAAATCCAGCAGCTCTGGAGGCCAAACCGGGACCTAACCGTGCTTGGTCTGAATACAACTGAAATCTGTGGTATAAATCTGAAATACTCGTCACCACCGCTTCTTTACTGACATCATCCGAGGGTTTATCACAGTCGTCGTTAATATTGTCTTCATTTTTGTCATTACCGCTGGTTCCCTTTAAGTCCTCGGAGACTTTATCTTCCCCGAGGATGCTACTGATGGAGAAAGAAGATTTCTTGGGAGGCATAGGCGCTAAAGTAGGCGTTAAAGTGGCTGGTGATCTGGGTCCTGAAGACGATAATGTCTGTGGCGGCGACAATGAATCGGATGATGGTGATGATGCTTTACAAGTCAAAGATGAGTCGTCTGATGCCATTTTATTATTTTCCACGTGGAAAAGAATAATATAAAAATTAAAAAGCTTGAAAATAATTTAGAATGTAATTTTAACTTCCGAAACAAACAGCATATTTTGATAAAATCAAACAAATGTATATGTTAATACAAATATTCTCACATGATATTCGACATTTGTGTGTCTAAATCCTGCACGGCAACAATATATACTGATAACACTTTTGAATGAAAATTTGCAGCGAAACAATTTAATTTCGTTCAGTAAAAGATACCAGTTCAAGTCCGATGGCTATCCCACCACATGCAGTATGATGTTGTAACAATATCAAGTACTCTCAACTAGAAAGTCGCAGAGGAACACGATACGTCAGCCTATGGAAGATTTGATAAAAGAATTAAAACGCTTCGTTTCTTTTCCAGCTCCTAGTAAGTGATGACCCCACTACATCAACACCCTCGCACGGCTTTTCGCTGAGATTATTTGAACGCTATGTGAACCGTCGCAACGGCGCCTGCCATCTTTCGCTTTGATAATCACAAAATAATAGCTGTCCCGGCGATTAGGTGCCTGTCAACTCGAAGGACGGCACTGATTGGCCAAACACAAAACATAATAGGATTAATAACGAGGAGCAGCCGTCAGACTAGTCCCCGCCTACTCAATCAGCAGCGATCGAAATTTACGATAACGCCGACCGGCGATTGGTTGGAGCAAACTGTGACAATCACAGCGGTGACGGTTGGGATGCGAGCACCAGAACAAAGACGTCGGTCCTGGTGACAGCAGACGGGTAAGATCATGTGACATGTGCAGTCTGCTGGAACAGAAAAATGTCGCCGTCAAGTCAAGAGGGATAAAATACAATTAAAAGAACAGAAAGGAAAAGAAAATCTACCTTTCGTGAGTCAAGTTCGAGCTGGCACTTGTCTTGATCGGCGTCAGTTGCTGATTCTAGACATTGCCGCTCCGTGTTTTTATAATATCACTCAACATATTTTTTTTTAGTTCTGAATAAAACAAAAATTTATAAAGAAACGATTTGCTTGAAATATGGCAAGTACTTATAATATTTACCCGGATTATTCGTTTCTAAGTGTGCACATGTGTTTGTGTAAAAATGGAGGATATAATTCTGGTTTTTTATTCTCTACCTCTCTCTCTGTCTCTCTCTCTCTCTCTCTCTCTCTCTCTCTCTCTCTCTCTCTCTCTCTCTCTCTCTCTCTCTCTCTCTCTCTCTCTCTCTCTTACTCTTACTCTCTAACTCACTCACCCCCCCCCCCACACCATCCCCCTTTTTTCTGTCTGTCTGTCTGTCTGTCTGTCTGTCTGTCTGTCTGTCTGTCTGTCTGTCTGTCTGTCTGTCTGTCTGTCTGTCTGTCTGTCTGTCTGTCTGTCTGTCTGTCTGTCTGTCTGTCTGTCTGTCTCTATTTTCTCTCTCTCTCTCTCTCTCTCTCTCTCTCTCTCTCTCTCTCTCTCTCTCTCTCTCGCAAACAAAAAGACACGAGAGGACCGTATTTTTCTACAGAGAGAAAACATAAATAAATTAAGACAGTTGTGTAGAGGATGCATTCAAAGGTCGAGAACTCTGTACTGGCTCCCGCAGATAGCGACAGAACGCTTATAGAAAATTGCAGGAAGCTTTATGTCAGATCTTAACTCAATTAAACTCAATAGGTGTGGCGCAGGTGGACAGGTAATACTTTAGTTGACGCACGATGGTCTTAAGTTCCTAGGTAAATTGTTATCATTAACCTGGGCTCTGAAGTCAGTTCTCCCGTGTATGAGAAGTGCACAGAAACTTGCCCCTAGTGACTATCACTTACTTGACCGACCAGGACAGGTCATTATTCTACGCCTCGGGCAGGATATAACAAACTCAACAAGCATATGCACAGGCTTTGTCTAAGTAAAAAGTAAAGGTGAAGTCGGGAGACATGAACCAGCGTCATTGCACACAGATATAAACAATAAGTGCTCCGTCACCAGTACGGACAGCTGATAAGAAACTCTCCCCCTGTGTCGCCGTCCGAACGCAACTTCGTAGCTACAGCGACGTCCTCCATTTACCCCATTGTCTAAGTAGTTTACTATAGAGCCCTTGTGGGCTGTGTGTGTGTAGACTTCACAACATGTCCTTGAAGAATGTCCCTTGTACAGCCCATGAAGAAGGGTCTACAGGGCCACTGAGTTAACTCTATACTCATAGTTGTATGAAACTATAAGGTATCTCCTAAAAACAGTCAAGTTTATCCCAAGAACTTGTGTATCTGTGTCAATCGGAAAGATAACTCTAGAAGAAAAATGTTAATATCAGCCTTAACTGGATATAAGGAAATGTATTGGATAGTAAAAGCAGACGGCTTGATGTAGAAAACATCAGCCATCAAGTACCAAGTAATCTATGAGATGGTTATATGGGTATATGCTTTACATACTTAACGAGGCAACATCATGAAAAGGTCCCTTATTTTACTGTCTGTCTGTCTGTCTGTCTGTCTGTCTGTCTGTCTGTCTGTCTGTCTGTCTGTCTGTCTGTCTGTCTGTCTGTCTGTCTGTCTGTCTGTCTGCCTGCCTGCCTGCCTGCCTGCCTGCCTGCCTGCCTGCCTGCCTGCCTGCCTGCCTGCCTGTCTGTCTGTCTGTCTGTCTGTCTGTCTGTCTGTCTGTCTGTCTGTCTGTCTGTCTGTCTGTCTGTCTGTCTGTCTGTCTGTCTGTCTGCCTACCTGCCTGTCTGCCTCCCTGCCTGCCTGCCTGTCTGTGGCCCATTTTATGAAATCTGGCCCAGTATGAGAGTGACCTCCCTTGTCATTCATGCCTCGTAAGGTGTTTATGTTTATATCCTGGCCACCGCCAACATCGAGCAGAGACTTCTTCTGCTACTGTTCCAGGGACTGGTTCTTTCTCTAATCCAACATGCTTAAGCCATACTTACAGTCAGCGATACTCACACTGGAATACTGGAAAAGGGGCAAAATGAAACTATGCGCATTATTCTGGGGTGCACAAGCGATAACTCAGCAATGAGATATCTTCTTAACTCTCCAACATTAGTCCATAGAATGAAGATCTGGAGGCCTCGTGCATACCCGAAGATGAGCTCGGATTTGAAACACCATCTGCACAATGTTCTCTTTAGGAAAAAAGGGAAACCGGCTAAAGGGGTGCAAATCATGGCTCGGTAAGGCAGAGGACGATATCATACAGGTCATACAGGTGACGTAAATGCGTTGTGCCTGTTTACAGCAGAGATGCGATATTTGCGCCTTTCGGCCGACACTTCCGACTGCCTCGAGAATTTGTTGACCAGGTTACCTTTCCAGTTTGTTTCGTGAGACGAGGCGTATTGTGGCCTAATTTGTGTAGTGTAGACAGGTCCACCGTCAATCCATCCTTCCCTCCATCCATCCATCCAGCCAGCCAGCCATCCATCTATGAAAACACAATAAAAAATCGCAAACGCTCAGCCTACTGTGAGCAGTTTTGGCTATAATTGTGGTCTTGTTTATTTGTGTCAAATATGTTAGCTATGACTTGGTAATTGCACCAAAACGAGTGACTTAGACAGGTTTTCTAGTACCCAGTGAGGGTTGTTGGGAGTGGGAGAGACTGGTGTGCACGACTGTCAGCACTCACGTGCTATCTTCTTCTTCTTCTTCTTCGCGTTCACCAGCTGTACACTCTGGCGGAAAGTTCTGGTTGCTCGTCCACTACTGAACTGCAGTCCTGCTCCAGAACCTGAGTGTTGCGTGTGCATCAGTTTTACAGATCTCATTCTCTTGAATACAGACTGTTGGTTCCTTGCCTCTCCGGCAGATGCACTCCGACTTCAAAGGAAGCTCCCCAATTAGTCGACTCTTACGACATGCTTTTGGGGAGGCAGTGGGTCTATTCTTGTTTTCCCCACAATGGGGCCCCGGAACCCACACGGGGGTCACGTGCTATCAACTCTTATGCTGATGGAAGATGAATGAGGAAGTGAAAGCTGTTGTGCCCAAGTATAAGAACCTCGGTGCCATTGAGCTCTAGTGCTAATGGAGGATTGTTGATGGTGTGGAGAAAAGGCAGGGAAGATCATGGGCATCCAAGGAGGCTTCCATATATGCATAGCCGACACACGACGCTCTAGTCCTGGGCTAACCCAGGGAATCGTCACCTCCTGCACATGTCTGCTTAATCTCACATCCCAAACCAGAGATCACCAGGGAGCAGCCCACATGCCCTGGTCATCGTTGGTCACACAAATAGGTGCCTTTTTCTTTGGCACGTTTAATGTTTTTCCTCTGGAAACTTAGTAAAACAGAACGACAAAAACTTGCATCCAGCATAGCTCCTTCTTTTAGGCATCACAAGCTGGCGAGTGGGACCAGTGGTAACAGGCATGTCAGCCGTCCTGCTAATTAGTAGGACTTTTTTTTTTCCCCCCAGTCGGATCGCGGGACTATGTTTGCATGCCATAGGACATGTATCATACGGACATTTAAGCCAAACCAGCACACTGACAGTTTGCCGTGGTGTACCCCAACGTTGTGACGACAACGTTGAGGAGCAACAAGGGATATTCTGAGACAGGACTGTTCATGGATTTACTGCCTGCAAGAGATATTGCTCGTCTAGGCTGCGAGCAAATTTCTTGTTTTTTTTTTTTTTTTGGGGGGGGGGGGGGGGGGGGGGGGGGGGGGGGGGCGGGGGGGGGTCGGGGGGGGGGGGGGGGGGGGGGGGGGGCTTAATCTCAGCAGTAGCAGGTACGGTAGTTCTTCCTACTCAACTGACGTTTTAACCGTGGGTTGTCATTCAGTATTATTTTCGGCCAGCAGACTTTACCCTGTTCCAAATGAGCTTCGATAGACGTTCTCGCCAATGCGTTTTGGGTGGACAGATGTGAGCCATGCTGGACACTACATCTTTAGAGGCTAACAACTCCGAGAACCCCTACCAACTCAGTTCAGGTCATAAAGATTAGCTGTTATCCGTGGCGCACAACGTGGACGTGCGGCAGGAATCTTGTGTGAGGATCCGTAAAA